AAACTACAATCCCGGACAAAACTAGTTGAGACACTGGCATTTTTTCACTGCAAAATATCCCATTTCTCGTATCTCTAAAAAATCACTGATTTTGATCCTCCCCTCCCCCCACCAAGCAATGTTGTGTGTGTGACGTGATTCAAGAAGGGTGTGCATGGTTGTTCAGTCCTTTCAACATTGATTAGAGGGGGAAAGGGGGAGAATTGCACAGAAATAGGCAAATAGATCATCGAAATTCAACCTATTTTAAGAAACGTCTCAACAGTTTTGTCCGGGATTGTAACACTTCAAAGCTCAACAATCTTTTAAAATTTAAAAATCTTACTTTATTTCAAGTGGGCTTCTAGTGATAAACAAAGACAAATTATTCGTCCCCTATCTATGTTTTGGCTATCATCACATGTTATGCCTATATGGTTCACTGAGTCAGTATTCGAGTGATATGTTTTTACTAACTACCAAACCGGTTCCTTCAACATAGCGTGTAACAATCTCGTCACAAATACACTCACCGCTGAAACTCTCAATATGCTTTAAAAAATCATTAAACTATGAGAAATATCAGTAAGCATACGATGTTGTCTTTGTACATTATGATAGAACTTACCTTGAAATTTATAACATCGCCTCACACGTCTGCCATTTCCTGGCTTCCTGTGTTACCGGACCCGAGCTACTGAGGAATGATAGAGGGGGAAGGGGAGAAATGACAATTGAAGCTGAAAATTGGTCTTTTTGACAAATATTACCACKTGACGCTTAAGGTGGTATGATACCCCYMAAAAAACCCTTCCATTTTGAAGCAAATTGACAAAATCATTTYCCAGTTGATTTTGCCTAAACATTRCATGAAATTTGATTGGAATAATKCTTGATAGCAGTWGTGCAATGAACCTCAAAAATCTTGACACCGTTACAATGCTCAGTAATATCAAGGCTKTTTATYAAAGGACGCTGGCTAAAATTATAAGCTTTTTGTTTGTTTACTTAATTGTTTATTTTTTGTTTATGTAAACCATATGACAATGTTAGGTTCATTGCATACATTGAGATATTAGCAATGAATATTCTTAGTTTGGATTGTATTCCAATTATAGTTTCAGAGCTAGAGCTGTTACAATAAGTGCCTTATAATCATGTATTTTGGGTGTGGATTGGTTACCATAGCAACGAGTGCTAAAATTGGTATAAATGATTTGTCTCAATAAGGATAATGATATGTGAAACAATAAAATGGCTAAAGTCTTTTCCTTGAAATTATTGTTATCTTGGGTATCATGCCACCTTAAAATGAGACAATTAATTTTCAACGAAAAAAAATCAGAAATTGCTCAATTATTTTGTATTGCATGGTTTTAAAAATTAGTGAATTTTAGTAAAAGTACAGTTGGTCAAGGGATTACTCTTCATAAAATTATTGGTTACAAACACTGCAATACTCACTGAACTACTAAACAGAACAGAAGAAATACAATTAGCATAATTTATAAGTATTTACTGGTATAGTATTTATGTAGCGCTCTTTTAATGTTTACAATCTGATAAAAGGCTTAAAATCAAAAACTAAGGGAGGGAGAGATAGGACAGAAGGACAAATTGGGAAGGTGTTGTTGTCTGGTGTTGTATCATAGGATTGATCAATACACAATTTTGGTGGAAATCAAAGGTGATGAAGAACGTGATGAATAAAATATTRGTCTTGCATTATGATTGACAGGGTCATTGACTTGACTTTATGCAATAGTACATGATTCATAGGGTCATATCAGGCAGGTTAATTGACCGTTGGTTATTGATGAGTTTTTCAATCAACAGTAACATTCATGCTTCAATTTAGGTAATCATCTGATTAGCAAAGTGCACGCTTTTAATTGAATGGACAGGTGATGTCTTGTTSTTSTTGTTGAATGAAGRTCAAAAGTTACGTTTTACGGAAGAACTGACAACCTGTCACGAAGCACGGAACAAATTTACAATAAATCCTGGATATATTTTTTCCTTGCTATTCCGATTGATAAGCTAATTAGCGCTTATTTTATAAAGGAATCAAGCAACACGAATTTATATATATGATATTTAACAAATAGATCTCATTTTTCCGTGCGTGTGTACTCTAATAGATACACAGATGACGTCAAAATGTAGTGAGAACAAAAAAGTACGCACGAGACGCAGTCGAGTGCGTGACTGTTGTTCTCACTACATTTTGACGTCATCTGTGTATCTATTAGAGTACACACGCACGGAAAAATGAGATCCATCTGTTTTATACAACAAACAATTAGTTTTGACGTAATCCGTGTATCTATACTTTGATAACACACGAAAGCCAACCAATAAAAACGTCTGATTTTACTGAAAAGTTGTATAAATATAAATATTTGGCTCACTATATAGTGGGCAGTGATGAGTTTGAGACGTTCGTGCATGGCAGCATGAGGTACATGGCAGAACAGGCATGGACACCACACGGAAAGGAACCTCGCCTGCTAGTGGTCTAAAATCAAACAAGGATTCAAGAGTACATCATCGTTAAGGGTCTTGGCACGAAAATGCTGTGCACATATCTAACATTACCAGATTACCTTTTTCCACATATAACACAGCTAGTGGTTYCCTTTAGTATCGATTTTCGGGCGATACATTTATTGATTATCACTTATTTTAATTCTATTTTAATTTTATTAAAATATTTCACATCAATTTATTCACTTGTATCCAGTTGAAAACGTTTGATAAGTCCGCATCTAAAGTGGACTGAATATTTTCAAGATTGTTATCTGCATACGAGCGGTGCTTGATATCGGTGTACAACCCAGGTTTACAAGTAATTGGGTAGTGGATTTACGTACAATATATCTCACTAGCAAACACAAAGTATTCCATTCTTTATTGATCAAGAAATGGGCAAAAAACACACGATATGTAAAAAAGAACTACTTTATATTCTAACATATCGTGTGTTTAAAATAATAAAATACCGGAATTTAATGAGATGGCGATCATTTTTTTTTTTCACCGCCACGATGAGAAAGCTATATGCTAAATACTTTTAAAAATGAGTAACAAAGTTCAAAAAGTTTCATATGAAATAAAATGTTTGCTTTATCTTTTAAATTTATGTTCTTACAATAAGTAAGCATTTGACTCATCCCCCTTTTATGAAGCGGTATGCAGTAGGTTCGAATTTAGACATCTATTGAAAGTTCAATGCCTTTTTATTCCGAGTAGTTAGTGAGGGCTTTCATTCATTCAAAATGGTAACCCAATTCATTGGCTATATCTGATGGATCTCTTGATGATAATCCATTTACTTTAGTGAGGCGACTAAGTAAACGTTTTCAAGTTTAGCTCATAACTAGGCTGACAGTTTTTTTGCGAATCGCGATGTTTTTATTAAAACTATTTTGGTGATAGACTTGCTTAACAAATCGTATTTATTTAGCTTTATTTGATGTCCAAAATGTCTCGATTATACTCATTCATTGAATGATTGACTTTTGAAAATAAGTTGACGATGTTAGAGAATTCCATGAATAAACCCTTTTAGTGATCTCTTTTACGCTGTGTTAGCCTCAAAACCATGTAATACATTCTTTTATCCACTAAMAGCCCGTGCAAATTCAAGAGATCTGTGAGTGTAGAAGACAATGGAACTAGTTTGTAATCTYMCGASTTTTATCAAAATTTCTGAATATTTTGCATACAATTGAGGCTAGCACAGCGTAAAAGCGATCGCGAAACTCAACTATTCCCCTAATCATTTATCATACATTATTCACCTCAGACTAGTTAGTATAATTAGNTTACTTGTCTAGACAGCTATGCTCCAGTGAAAACAGTAAAGTTGAAACACAGACCTTGTCCCTTCATCACCGAAGACATCAGAGAACGTATGGCATCACGGGATCGCTTACAAAGACAGGCCCAGAGGACTGGTAACGAGCATGATTGGCTAGCATTTAAAACGTTGCGTAAGGCTGTCAAACAGGCTTTAAGGAAAGCAGAACAAGACTTTTTTTAACAAGGAAATAGCTGAGAACAAAGGAAACAGTGGCGCATAAGATTTTTACAGTCACTTTGCAGTTTTTATCGAAATTTAGCCCCAAATCTTGTCTACGATCGCTGTTCTTTGACGAACCTGGCACCATATTGTCTTCCATATTGCATTGCATAACACTCTACGAAATCGAGACGATTCAAGAACGGAAACTCAAGTCCCATGTGCCATTCTTTGTTTCCCGCGAAATTTGCAACTCAGCATGCGGGCTTTCCTCTAGTGATCTGTAATGCGAGCCGTCTTACATTTGAACATCGAAAACATCTGAAATGCTCAATGTCGCTGTCTCTAGTGGTTATATTTTTAGTAATCAACTATTGTACAGTCAACAGCTCTAAACGAAAATGTAATCAAATACTCTCGTATTCCAGGTACTGAACGGCATGATAATTTGACCTCAAAACATAACTTAGCTCTCCTTCGCAGCCTCCCCTTTTGTCGTGCTTCCTGTCCCTACAAACGTAGAACGATCAAACTGTGAAATGCTATCTCGTGTTTCATAAACAAAGCGTCATATTGTTCTTCTTAGATACGAAGTTCTCGATTGGTTTTTAAATAGAAATCAAACTTTTTCATATTTCAAAACATTACCTAGTATTTAGTTATGCCTAAAATAGCCTACTGAAAGCTARAAAAGTTATTTTTTGRAACGCTTAGCCAGTTCTCATACCTTAAAACAGCTATGTACCTGTTAAATTTGTAGAAAATAGAAGTGACCAAAAACTGAAAAAAATGCAGACAAATAAATTCCAAAAACGGCAGAGTACAAACAATATTGCACTCTAAATAGGCAATAAAAAATAATGAAGGAGTGCTCAKTGTTATTTGTGYTGCACGCATTTCTTGTTGATGAAGTGYTTTGGCGCGTTTGCTTGAAAATAATCCAAAAGATTTTGACTGACGGCTCTCTATGCCTGATTGAATGCCGTAAACAGGGTACATGCGCAGGGTGTGGTTAAGGGGTCCTGGAATCCCCCTTTCCTTGACAGAGGAAATCTTTGAAATATGAGACTTTATTTGTCAAATYAATAATGCTCGTCTTTTTCAAAGTCTTGAAACCGCAAAACAAAGYTGGTAAATTGACCCTTGCTKGTTGGTTAGAAATGAAAACGATGACAAAATGGGACAACGTTTTTGAAAACTGGTGTAAATCGATATAAACTCAAAATTAATGTCGCATATTCAAATGACATGACAATTTTCTTGCAATTACAGGTGGAAATACAATAAGTGATTGACAAACTATAGGTTGAATGKTCGCCATACCTGTCCAGCCATTAAGAATCCTACGATCTAATAAAGGTTGAATATTCAGCGTTACTATTGKATCAATAACACTGTCATAATCACAAMAAATATAAGACCCTGAAACTGCAGTAATCAATCCCGCCACCAACTCCGAAAACTATACACAATAAACAGTGTTGCAGTTTTTGAAGCCATTTCAAACACACCAGGTCATGTTTTATCATGTAGAAAGATTCGAGTCGAATGTATTGCTCTTAAACTATACATAACAATGATAATGATAAAAAAGTCACAAAACATATTGAAAAAATACTCACCGTAGTTGTCCAAGAAAAGCCATAATAATTGTTTAGTATTCCAGCAG